TCTTAGAAAATTCTGCCATTGAAAAATACATAAAAGCTAGAATATCAGTTTCTGTTTGTTGAGTTTAAAGTGTTTATGATTATTGCAGTGGATCTGTTCAGAGATAGAGATGAAGACTAATGTAGAATATTGTAATTAGAGATTTTCTTAAAGAACGGGGACTCACTTAAGTTACTACAACTTAGGTAGTTTTAATATAAAGACGTACATCCAAATGAATGTGTAAGAAAATTCCATCAAGCAAGACTTTGCAGAACAATTACTAAAAGTATATTGCAGATTCAAGGCATCTCTAGGAACTTCCACAGGAGTCCAAGTGCAATCTTGTCCAATCAGCCCTGGCTGGGAGGAAGAGTGTACTATGCTCTTTGGAAGATGTACTTCTAGAATTTTGACTTTGCGGTTTTCTCTGAGTGAGACAGTGGACCACATGATGGCCCAAATTAGTTGATGAGATGTGGTAGAGATGATTCTACATGACCAAAAAACCTATTTATCTTTATCCTGGGTACACAACTCAGCTGTGTTTTCTTGCTTCCTCTGCAGTTAGAGATTTCTGATTAAATTTAGAGCAATGGAATTTGCATTATAAAGATGTTTGTCATTTCTGGTCCTTATCACTTAAACATGTTCAACGATCTTCCTGAATTTCTCTCCCCTTCATCAGTTAGCAGGATAACATCAGGGGAATCTTAAAGCCATGTGTTGAAGATGGCAAAAAGGAATTCAGGGAACCTGTATCACTGAGTGATGAGTCATGTTAAAGACATTGGGCCTGAATAGTACATTAACCTTTTCTTAGCAAGATGAAAAACTATTTTTTTTAAACTGTAAACAACCATTACAATTAGGAGATTTGGTAAAGCAGATACTGATAATTATCCTACAACATGCAAATAGTATATTGTTTTTTGAACTTAGTTACATAGCAAATAACTTTTTTGGGGGAAATTAAATATAAAAGTTTATTTTGATCAAAGTTGTTAGTGCTGTTTGTTTCTAATGTTGTCTCCTTATAAAACAAATATATTGAACTCTATGTACAACAATATTATACTGTACATAAATGCATAAATGCCTGTATTTAGGATGACCTTTTTGTCTAAAACCCATCACATTTGATGTTTAAATCACATTGAGGCAGAAATTTCACAGAATTTTAACTGTCTCTAGACAGTTAAAATTAGAATTCTCACGAAGAGTTTTCTAGGTCCCAAATCACACATGAATTTTATTGGTTTTACCCTAAGGTCTCTCCCTGGATATGGACACATCATTTCCCATAACTCAGGGAAAGAATGTCCTCACTTATCTATAGTTGAGCTTCTGAATTCTAGAGTGTGTGCATACTTAAGGCAAAATAGAGACATTTTTCTTTGATTTTTCCCAGGTCAAATGGCAGAGATGACAAGAAAGTCTACCAAACTTTTATTACATTATTCTTTGGAATAAGAGAATGTATAAAGATCACTGAGGTCTTCTGATTTCAGTTTAAGAAATCGTGTTGTAATAAAACAGGAGTCCTGAGGAAAAAATCAGTGACACATTCTGTTTTGATGCTTTATCTAATATGCTTTTAAAATATCATTTCCCCTCGTGGGCTTTTACTTGGATTTTAACTAGTCTGCCGAGATCCAGTTTGTATTCCATAAGATTCATCTATTTTCAGTATATATTTCAATAATTTTCAGTAATTTATCAAGTTGTACAACCATCACCATTATCCAGATTCAGAAAATTTCATCACTCCAATAGATCCCTTGAAATCATTCTTCCTTTGATCACACTTTTGATTTTGACTACTTGCAGGGAGGAAATGATCAATATATATAGGAGGTTTGAAAAGATTTATGTGGTAGATTTTACTATAGATGACCTTTAAGTAAACATTGCTCTCACAGAGATATATTTATTTCTGATCTATTTAATTTCTGCCAATGCAGAGCCTAATTCAAGGACTTGAGTACAGGTAATGCTCTTTGGATAAGACAGCCTAAAGAAGAAAAGTAGAAATGAGAGAAAGCTAGGAAAGTGGATATTGTTGAACTGGTCATTCTATGGCAACTGGGTTTTAGTACCCATGGAACTTTCTGAGAAGCCTACATAATGAACTTCAGGATTATGTCTTTGAAGGCTAAGAAATGAAAGAATTTAGTTAGCAATGAATCTTTCCTTATTAGTTGAATGTGGTTTCCAGATATGGGAATTAACTTACACTTTGAGGTTGCCCTTCACCTGGTGTGAGTCAGCTCTCATGGCCTCAAAGACAAGCCCTGAGATATAAAAGTATAAGTTGTGAAAGTATTTGAGGTGGTAAGTCAGCAGCATGCCCAGAATCTGTCTACCACACTGCAGTCATTGTCACATCCAAGCTAAGGAAGTTATCCCATAATGTTTAAGAGTATCATATTTGGGTTCATTGCTAAGTGCCAATGCTAGGCTGTTTAATACTGAGCTGTTAAATGAGGCTTATAGGTCAGCAGTACGCCCTGTTATATCTTTTCCTACCAGGATTCTGCTTCCTCAAGATCTATTCCCAGTTGCATTTTTCCAGTTCTTACTGGAACACATTCTTTTAATTCTTTTGTTATATCTAATATTTTCTCTAATATCAGACATATAATTCCTTCCTTGGACTATGCTGCTGACTTAATTTATTTCTGCAGTTAATAGCGGGAGATATGAATGAATTTGAGGAGATAACTTACAATTTCGTAAAACATCTGATGCACCTGGTGTCTTAGCATGTATTCCAACAAAGCAATTTTGTATTGTTTAGAAGAGTGAGGGATTCTTTGACAGAGTCTGGAGAATTCACAGAAGTTTACCCTTATGTTGCCATCACAGATTTTATCATCTTACTCCTCTACCTATCCTCAGAAGTAAGGTCTTTGTCATATCTGATTAGTTTTTCATAGGGTTCTATTTTCTAAGGCCATTTTAAGTAGAAATCATCTTTATTTGGGTTCCTTTAACATAAGGCCTGAGACAAGGACTTGTATAGAAGCAGTTGATGTGAGAAGAGATTCTAAGAAGCAGAAATGAAGGAGTGGGGAGAATGTGAGAAAATAAGAATAAAAAACAATGAAGGCTGTATAATTGATTTGGTTATTGTTTTTAGCATCTAGACCTAGAACAAGCAGCCCCCACTCCAAAGAACCTTGTGGAATGCACCTCAGGATTGTCATTCTAAAATGTGAGAGTATTGAGAATTTAGGTATTTATACACAGACTCTTGTTTTCATAATAAACATCGACACTACAATAATTATTTGTTTATAATTTCCTCTGGAAAATTAAATTACCACAGACTTCTGTCTCATAAGTTGTTCAAGCTCATGGCTTTGAAAAAAAGTCTAAGGCAGATTAGTGGAGGGGAGGAGTAGAAGTTAAGAACCAGAGGTTGGAAAGGAGTTGGCAGAGTATCGATGTTTGGAAATAGACTAAGGTGCCAAAGGGATATGGTGTGGGCACATTGCTAAAATATATATTTGGAAACAGGTGAAGCTGGATAGATCATATGTAGAAATCACCTACCTGAGGCCTGTGTTTGAGAGGAGATAGGTTGAACAATGCTGTACTTGAACTTGGGTACTGAGACTAGCTGTAACAAGTGTTTCCCATTGGTTGATGTTGTTGACAGAATTTAATAAAACATCCTTCACCTGCTCCTCTCCATGTAGGGAAAGTCATTAGCTTTTCTACTATTGAAGTTTTGGGACTGACCCACTACTGGCTTCCTTGCTCCTCAGCTTGCAGGCGGCCTATCGTGAGAATTTACTTTGTGATCATGTGAGTCAGTTCTCCTTAATAAACTTCCCTTTTGTAAACATCTCTGCTATTAGTCCTGTCCCTCTAGAGAATCCTGACTAATACATGCCCTAATATATATTTTGAGTAAGAAAACACAGATTCACAGATCTACAGGAAGGCAAGGGGAGAACCATGGGACAATTACATTTTGATTTATAAACTCTCTACTGAATTGCCCTTATTGTATCTCTAACTTTCCTATAGTCCTGGGAGTTAGAGCGTATCTTTAGTTTTCCAGGTTTGTGTGTGTGTAGAAGCAAAACATTTGAAGATGCAGAGATGTAAATCATCACTCTGAAGAAATAAAAGAAATGTGATATGAACTCTAGTTTTTAGTTTCTTTCTAAAATAAAAACTAGAGTTCATATCATCAAATGGCACATCAAAGTTGAGTAAGGTAGAATCAAAAAAGAAGCCGTAGAATCTCTATTTAATTAAAGAGAGTGTCTGATCCCTGGACACTCACCAGAGAGCTGAACCTTGAACTTCCTTTTGTCCAATATCTCTCCAAAGCCTGACTGTAAGTCATTAATATTTGAAAAAGACAGGCTGAGGATCATACTGGTCATTCATATAAAACTGATCTGTGTGTCAAAAGTTTAAGATTCTCTGGTTTAATGGCAAGGATGTGATGTTTTTACCACCTACTAACTATAATCAAAGGGAATGATAATCCTACCTTGCAAGAAATCATAAAGATGAGAAACAATGTATGCAACATGCTGGCCCCACTTCTGATGTACTAGAAGAGAAAAAATAATACCATCTTCACCAGAAAATTATGTTCCTAAATCTCAGCAGTTTAGTCCTAAGAAAAATGCTTTTATTAAGCAGTGTTTTCATGTTTGACATCAGTTTTTGTCAGGAATTATCATAAAAAGTATTAATAAGAATTATGTATATTCTGAAAAAGTATAGTTGAAGACATTGTTCTTTATGTTGTATAATCATTAACTCTAATTTTAAAAACCCATGTAAATTGCCTTAAGCTTAGCATCAGAAAATGTTTTCCTATTTTTTACTTGAATTTTACTTTGAAGTGAGATTCTGGTTTCATTTTTTATTATTATAATTTTTAATTTGGTTCCCAGGGAAGCCAGAACTAAACTAAATACAGTGTTAGCCTTTGTCTCTTCAACTCTGTATGGGTTTTTAGTTTTGCTTTATATTTTTATTTTAAGACTTACTCAAAATCTGTATATTATCAGCACTATTCCACTCTAAAACGACTTCACCTGCTGTCGTGATGATCATTGTCCTGCGCAGCACAGTAACGTATCAGATATAGAGTAGCCATGCGTATTTTTTCATTAAAGTTTCATGACCACCAGATCATAAGACCAATATTCTTATTATCAGCCCCAATTTAGCAGTGAGCAGTATAGTTCAAGAAACAAGTTGACTAATAGGTAAAGTAGGAATATGAAGCCAGAATTGATTTTTTTTCTTTAAGTCATGGGTTACTTTTGAGACATAATTTCAAATCTTTGATAGAAGTAGTCTGAGTATAACATAAATGTTATGTAGGGTAAAGGGGAATGTTTTCCTCTGCTTTGATTCCTCAAACCCTGTGCCCAGAATGTGAATATTCCCGTGACTTGTAAAAGTTGGTATGTGTGTTTGATGTTTATTTAATCTTTGCTTTCCTAGAAGCATGAAGATTTTGTAGTGACTAATAGCATTTTGCTTGTAAGGCTGGGTGACAATCTTATGGGAAGTATTTAGCACAGACCTATCAAACTTTTAATAAATATGAGTATCATCCCTGGAAGCTATGTTGGGTGTAGTACTTGACTCATCTTTTGCCTTATTCAAAATGAATTTGAAGTTTAACTTAGTTACTTAATTAATCTGACAACAGCTCAATTAGGCAGGTGATTATTCCTATTATGCACAGGAGGAAATTAGAGTCAATCCTTTGATAGAATTGCATTTTTTTTGTTGTTGGTAGTCAGAAGAAAGCAAAGTCAAAACTTTGCTTCAAAATATCTTTAATTAAATATCCAGTATTTTCACTCACAAGTTCTACCTTCCATGAAAGGATAGATCACAATTCAACCATGTTTCTTTGCGACTTGATAAACCCTTCGGTTTCCAATAACATGTTTCTCACCTTTGTCTTAAATTTTAACAGAACTCTCTTTAACCTTAATATTTCTACAAATATTCTGTACATGAAAAATATATGTATTCTCTAAAATGATAAAGCATTTCTCTATAGCTTTCCTCTTCTCTTCTTGAGTCCTCATTGAATCACCTTTTAAGGGGCATATTTATACCAAAAATTCCTTCTGAAAATCTAAGCTTTTGTTCTAGGATGGACATCAAAATAGTTTCAGCCTCTGCTCATCTCCCAGTTCCAATGCCACTTCCACTTTAAGAGCAGCATCCCACTTCTTCAGTACCAAATTATATTGGTCTTCTTAGCCTGCCATAACAAAATACCACAGACTACGTAGCTTAACCATCAGAAATTTATTTTCTCATAGCTTTGGAGGATGAAAAATCCAATATCAAAGTTGCAGCACATTTTGGTTTCTGGAAAGGGCTCTTTTCCTGGCTTGAAGAAATCTGCTTGGGGAGAGAAATCCATCCCCTCTCCTCTTTCTATAAGACAACCAGTTTTATCTGATCAAGGTCCTGCCTTTATGACCTCATTTAGCCTTCCTACTAAAGGTCTTATCTTCATATAGTAACATTAAGGATTAGGAGTTTAGCATGTAAGTATTTGGGAAACACAATTCAATCCATAACAACATCCTTTAGTGTATGTGTATGTATACACACACACACACACACACACACACACACATGCATGCACACACATACACACACACATACACACACACACACACACACACACATACACACACACACACACACACACACATATACTTTAAGTTCTGAGTACATGTACAGATCATGCAGGTTTGTTACATAGGTATATACATGCCATGGTGGTGTATCCATCCCTCCTCCCATCATCTATATTAGGTGTTTCTCCTAATGTTATCCCTGCCGAATCCCCCTATCCCCTGCTATCCCTTCGCTAGCTCCCACACCCCTCAACAGGCCCTGGTGTGTGATGTTCCCCTCCCTGTATCCATGTGTTCCCATTGTTCAATACCCACTTATGAGTGAGAACATACAGTGTTTGGTTTTCTGTTCTTGTGTTAGTTTGCCGAGAATGATGGTTTCCAGCTTCATTTATGTCCCTGAAAAGGACATGAACTCTTCCTTTTTATGGCTGCATAGTATTCCATGGTGTATATGTGCCACATTTTCTTGATCCAGTCTATCATTGATGGACATTTGAGTTGAAACCAAGTATTTGCTATTGTAAACTGTGCCATAATAAACATACATGTGCATGTGTCTTTATAACTTAATGTTTTACAATCCTTTGGGTATATACCCAGTAATGGGATTGCTGGGTCAAATGATATTTCTAGTTCTATATCCTTGAAGAAAGGTCACATTATCTTCCACATGGTTGAGCTTGTTTACACTCCCGTCAACAATGTAAAAGTGTTCCTATTTCTCCACATCCTCTCCAGCATCTGTTGTCTCCTGATTTTTTAAGGATCACCATTTTAACTGGTTTGAGATGGTATCTCAATGTGGTTTTGATTTGTGTTTCTCTAATGACCAGTGATGATGAGCTTTTTTTCATGTGTGTGTTGGCTGCATAAATGTCTTCTTTTGAGAAGTGTCTGTTTATATCCTTTGCCCACTTTTTGATGAGGTTTTTTTTTTTTTCTTATAAATTTGTTTAAGTTCTCTGTAGATTCTGGTTATTAGCCCTTTGTCAGATGGGTAGACACTCATAGATTCAAAATAAGGGAATGAAGGATGATTTACCAAGCAAATGGAGAGAAACAAACAAACAAACAAACACAAATCCCCAAAAAACAGGAGTTTCAATCCTAGCCTCGAATAAAACAGACTTTAAACCAATGAAGATCAAAAGAGACAAAGAAGGGCATTACATAATGGCAAAGGCATCAATGTAACAGCAAGAACTAACTATTCTAAATATATGCACCCAGTACAGATCAACACAGATACATAAAGCAAGTTCTTAATGACCTACAAAGAGACTCAGACTCCCACACAATAATAGTGGGAGACTTCAACACTCCACTATCAATATTAGACAGATGGATGAGACAGAAAATTAACAGGGATATCCAGGATTTGAATGCAGAGCTGGACCAAGCAGACCTAATAGACATCTATAGAACTCTCCACCCCAATCTTCTCAGCACCACATCACACTTACTTTAAAATTGAAGACATAATTGGAAGTAAATTACTTTTCAGCAAATGCAAAAAAATGGAAATCATAACAAACAGTCTCTCAGACCACAGTGCAATCAAATCAGAACTCAAGATTAAGAAAATCTTTAGTATTTCTTTAAAGTAGGTATGCTAGTTACAATTTCTTTTGGCATTTATCTTGGAATGTATTGATTATTACTTCATTTTTGAAATACTGCTTTACTGGCTATATGATTCTTGTTTGTTGGTGTTGGGATAGGGTTTATTGGCTATTTAAATATATCACACCAGTGTCTTTTGTGGTGTATAGTTTCAGATGACAGTATAGTTATCAATCTTACTGGGATTTCTTTTTTCACAGTGCATTGTTTTCCCTTGCTGTTTTCAAGATTTTACATTTGACTTTCAGGTTTTGATTGTCATATGTCTTTTTTGTGGGTCACTTTATGTTTAGCCTAATGGGAGCTGACTGATCTTCTTAAATGTCAACATTACACTTTTTTATAAAATTTGCAAAGTGTTCAGCTTTTAGTTCTTTACATAAACTTTTTGTTTCTCTATTTCTATACTCTTCTATGGAAATCCCATTACATGTCTGCTGCTATATTTAATGTAACCTCAGATTTTTCCTAACCTCCGTTTTTATATTTTCATTTCATTTTCTCTCTTTTCTTAACTTTTATTTTATTATTATTAATATTTTTTGAGACAGAGTCTTGCTCTGTTGCCCAGGCTGGAGTGTAGTGGTGTGATCTTGGCTCACTGAAACCTCCTCTGCCTCCTAGGTTCAAATAGTTCTTGTGCGTCAGCCTCCTAAGTACCTGGGACTGCAGGTGTACCCCACCACACGCAGGTAATTTTTTTATTTTTGTAGAGACAGGGTTTCACCTTGTTGATAAAGCTGGTCTTGAATTCCTGGCGTCAACTGATCTAACCATCTCAGTCTCCCAAAGTGCTGGGATTAAATGCATGAGCCACCCCACCAGCCTCTCTCTTTTCCTTAGATTGTATAATATAAATTGTTCTTTTCCCAAGCTCACAAAATCTTCCTACAGTTTGAATCTACTGTTGAATCTCTGGTTAATTTTCATTTTGGTTATTGTACATTTCTATTTCAGACTTCCATTTGGTTCATTTTTATAGTTTTTTTATATGGATTGATATTGTGCATCTGATGAGATATTGTCATCATTTCTCTATTTAATTTTTAGATATGATTCCTTTTAGTTCTTTTTTTTTCTATATTCAACACCTTAGCTTTTTGAAAATCAGTTCCTATTGACTGATCTCTGCCCCACTTAATGTATGTGGTCATATTTTACATTTCTTTCCATGTCTTTTAAGGTTTTTACAGAAAACTGGACTATATTATTTAAAATAATGTATTGTAGTGACTTTGAATAGTTATACATTACCCACCACTACTACCACCATGGCTGGTGTTTGTTGTCTTCATTATTTACCTGTTTAGTGACGTGTCTGATTTAATTCTGTGAAGTTTATTCTTTTTGCACTGTGCAACCTCTGATGTTGCTGCTAAGGTTTGTGTTTGTGTGTTTTCAAACTTTTTCTCTGGCTACCTAGGTTTCTTACCTGAGTTAACATAAGCCACTTCCTGGACAAAGGTTGTCTTAGTCTGTTTGGGCTGCTATTACAAAATACCATAAACCGTGTGGCTTATAAACAGCATGAATTTATTTTCACCATTCTAACACAGTTCTAAAGGCTGGAAAGTCCAAGAACAAGGTGCTATGATATGCAGCATCTAGTAAAATCCCATTTCTTATTTCATAGCGCAGCATCTTCTCACTGTGTTCTCATATAGTAGAAAGTGTGAACAAGCTCCCTTGGGCTTGTTTTATAAAAGCGCAAATCTCATTCATAAGGGTTCTTCCCTCAGGACATAATCAACTCCCCAAAGGCCTCAACCCTTGTACCATAACCTGGAAGATTAAGATTTTAACATGAATTTT